GTCACCTCCGGGGCAGGCGGGGATCGAACTCATGCAGAAGTGGCTTAAGCTTCTTAGTGCTGTGCTTTAACCCGCTGAGCCACCAGGGAGGACCAAGACATTCTTTTAATGTCTATAATAATCCTATGATTATCATCTCATTTGACCAATGAGAAAAACAGGAACATTAAGTTCCCTGCTCCATGTCACATAGTAGCAGTACTGGGTATTGAACTTCAGCAGGCTGGCTCCACAGCCCAAGTCCTTATTCTCTATGCTACACTGACTCTCTAGTTTCTGACAACCCTTGTGACTATTCTACTCACCCTATCAAGAAAGATGGCAATAATTGAATAAAAGCAAGCTTACACCAAATATAAAACTATTCATGTCTTCTCTGACCTGGCAAAATACACTTTCATTCCAAATGAGTTAAGCTCTGAGAATCTTTCCGGTGAGAGGTATAATTAAGGTAGCAGGGATTTACAAGAAGGGCAGATTGGCACGTGCTTTAACAAATAGAAATATAAAGATATGATGCCCTAGCAGGGATCAACTTATGAGAGAAAGCAGAGCCTAGAATGACTCCACTGGGTGAATGATAGCACTTTTAATAAAGGTTAGGAATATAGGGGTCAGAACAGATTCTGACAGGAAAGAAATGAAAACAACGACATTTTTTTATAGCTTGAGAAAAATGCTCTACCCAAGAAAGACAAACTATAAAATGACAGGATTTTAGACACGCTGAAATTTCCATTTGCCTAGTTTGGTTATGCGCTACCCAAAGTAGCAGCCAAATGTATCGCAGGCTGATTATGCTGCATACACTTCCATGATTTCACATTTTCAAACATGCATGTGGACATGATTATTGCTCAGATGCTGGGACTGTGCTTCTGCCAGGGTAGTCTGTGAGGCAGAGGATCATCTGTGCTCCAGATTCCTGTGTCTCCCCAAGAGGCTGAGCCCAGGGAACGCCTGCCAGGCCGGCCCCAGGTGTGGAGGGCATGCACAGGCGGGATCCGGGCCTCATCCGGGATGGGTAGGGCCAGCTGGGCCCTGCTCAGAGGGATTCAGGACTGAGATCAAAAGGCTGACTTAAAGCAAGAGTCAGCAATCTGCAGTAAAGGAATCAGAGCTTTAATATCAGAAAGGTGAGGGGTGCTCCCCCAGACTTCCATTGGCAATCAGGGAGAGCAAAGAACGGTGCCCAAACATTAGGGGGGTGTGAGGATGGGAAATTCAGATAATGCCCTCCTCAGATTCGCATGACTCTGCAGCCAAAGTCCTTCTCTGGGCTACACTGACTCCTGTTGCTGACCACCCTCATGACAATCCTAGTTACCCTGCCAAGAAAGATAATAATAATTTGATAACGGCCAACTTGTACCAAACCTGAAACTGCTCATGTTCAAGGTCGGGCATTGAAATTTCGCCATTTTTCAATGACTCCTGTCCATTTCTTTTCGGGGATGTCCCTCTCACTTGCCCAGCTTCGGCCTTGCAGGAAGCTTATGTACAACTTCCCCCTACTCCACTGGTCACTGCTCTCTGTTGTCAGTAGGATCCACACTGTGTTTACTTATCATTTCAGCACAGCCAACCAAGTGTCTCCCCCAAGACTAAATGGGAATTGAGGGTTGTCAGCACATAAAAATACTGGAAGCCAAAAAAAAAAAAAAAAACTGGAAGCCCAATTAAATTTGAATTTCAAATAAACCATGATTTTGTTTATTTGTTTAGCCTACATTTACTCTGTACAATACTTGGACACACGAATGCTAACAAATTATTGTTAATCTGATATTCTAATTTAACCAGGCAACCTTCATTTTTATCTAAGAACCCTGTGGGTACCCAGATTGTTTGGATTTTGACAGCTTTAGGGATGAAAAAATATCCCTACAGCATGCAAGTGTTCAAAGGAGAGGAAAAAAACATTAGGTGCCGTTTATATAAATTTTGTTAAAGATTGGAAAATCATCTCCATTCTAACTCTCCAGAAATTTCTCCTCTTCCAAATCTTCATTAATGATATTACCAATCTAAAATTCTGAGAACTGTTCAGAACTGCCTTGCCTTTAGCTCCTCTTAGCTGGGAAGCCTCTTAGCTGAAATTCTGCATAGCTTCTGAGGGATGTCCACCTACATCTGACCCTATGAAAGTGAGCTTGGAGACACAGATCCAGTTAAAATTCAAGTCGGCCCTCCGTGGTGGCGCAACAGGTTAGGACGCAGCAGGCTGGCCGTGGCCGTTTCAGTGTGAGTTCTATCCCCGGCCCAGAGGTGATCCACATGGCGCGGCAGACCTCTCCTGTCTCGCCCACTGCTCCCCTCAGCAGTGTACTTGGTCCATCTGCATGTTCCGCTCCCCACTCTGTCTCTGGTGAAGCCTTTCACCGTCCCTGCACCTCTGGCCTGTACCCCATTTATTCTGTATAAATAAATAAATCTTAAAAAAATAAAATTAAATTAAAATCACACTGACTCACTAGGCTTAAAGCTCTTTAAAAACTAGCTCTTTGTTCTAACCTCCAGGTTGAACGTACCATGCTTCTGTGCCGTGCGCCCCCTGGAGAGCCGCCTGGACAGTTTCTTCACTCTGCTTTCAGTGACTCCCATGGTGCCAGCTGGAAACCATGAAGGTAGGCATACTTACAGGGCAGGAAATCAGCAGCCACTACAAATCAAGGCTTTTATTCTTTTTTTTTTTTTTTAATTGGAGAGCTGGCTGTCAAGACTTTACTAGTCTACTACAGTCTAGACCAATTAGGAGACAACTGGCTACAAGAAACCGAAAATAAATAAATAAGCAACCAAAGATGCAAACCATCAGTAGCTTACTGAATCAGAAACAGAGGGTTAGAGGCAAAGGGTTAGAGGCAGCAAAATGTGTTTAAGGGAGTTTTCAGCTGATTCTGGTGTCCACTATTGCAGCAGAGCTACTGACATAAACCCATGTTCATAACACTAATGGTCATGGACTGACTGGAAAGCTTGTTAAAATGCTGATACTGATTCAGTAGGTCTGGAGTGGGGCCTGAGATTCTGTATTTTCTAACAAGCAACCTGGCAATGCTAATACTGCTGGCTCACCGACCACATTTTTTAATAGCAAAAGTTTAAGCCACAAAGACATTTGCAATTTATTTAACAAAAAGTCACTAGAAGCAGGAAGGATGGAATCAGTGGCTGGATGACACTATCATGCATGTCTTATCTCCCTGGCCATTCAAGTGATATGCTGATAATTTTTTTTTTAAAACATTTTGCTCATCTGTTTTGTTTTTTTTAAAAGATTTATTTATTTATTCGTACAGAACTGGGATACAGGCCAGAAATGTAGAGGGTGAGAGGACTCACCAGAGACAGAGTGGGGTGCAGAACAGGCAGATCAATGAAGTACACTGCTGAGGGGAGCAGCGGGCGGGTCAGGAGAGGTCTGCCACACCATGTGGATCTCCTCTGAGGCAGGCGGGGATCGAACTCATGCGGAAGTGACTTAAGCTTCTTAGTGCTGCACCACCAGGGAGGGCCCCTATGCTGATAAATTTTAACAGCCAGCTAGGGATGGAGTACCAAATGATATGTAGCATTTCCATGGGTAGCATCTGCCAAATTCAATGGTAAAAAAATGCAACAGTTAAATTTATGTTACCATTGTGATGCTAACTGACACAAAATTCCTGAAAATTCTGCATTCCATTCTTGCAAACAGTTTCATGAGGGTTGCAGTTTGCACTGGTCATAGGCTTGTGGTCCCACGGAGAAGATGACTGGTATCAGATGCTCCAGGCATGGGAGTCGTGAGCTTTACAGATCATGGCGACAAGGATACTTTGGCAAAGGTCTGTGGATGAACAGCAATTATTATTGGCTTAAATCATCCTGGACAGATGAAGACTAGATAATATTTGGAAATTCGGGGTTATCATAAGGGATGTAATACCTGAAACCAAACAAACAAACCTATAGAAGGCGAATATGTTTCATAAATTGAATTAATCCACTGTACAAAAGTATATTGAGTAACTATCATGTGCCGAGCACTATACTACAGTGATATTTCCTCCCCAAGATTCATATTCAATAGTTTTTAAAGTTTATTTTATAATTAAAAATTGATATGGCACCCCTACCTACACCTCTCTATCCCCACTACCCCATTTCCCGTATAGAGGCAACAAATATTTCTAGTTTCTTTTTATCTTACAGAGATATTTCCTGTCCTCTCTGCACATACCTGTATATTGCCCACCACTTTTTTTTTTTTTAAGATTTATTTATTTATGCATACAGAGCTGGGGTACAGGCCAGAGGTGCAGGGGCGGTGAGAGAATTCACCAGGGGCAGAGTGGGGAGAAGAACAGGCCGACTGACAAAGTACACTGCTGAGGGGAGCAGCAGGTGGGTCAGGAGAGGTCTGCTGCGCCATGTGGGTCACCTCTGGGGCAGGAGATTGAACTCATGCTGAAATGGCTTTAGCTTCTTAGTGCTACATTTATCCACTGCACCACCAGGGAGGGCCCCCACCACTTTTTAAAAATAGCTGCATATCTTATGAAGGACTGAAGGAAGTAACGCAGGCCTGTGCAAAAATAGCTCAGGCAAGCACCGCCCCCGCCCCCTCCCCAATGCAGAATAGGTTGAAGAGGGACAATGTACATTTAAATTGATTGGATAATGGGAATGGTGTGGGTCAGGCTGATTGGACTGGAGGCACCAGGAAATGAGACATCTATTCCTGGAAACCTGTCCATGGGTGGTTGAACTGTGACCCAGGCTGTGATGTCTGTTAATCTTTGAATCCATTTGCTAAGTTGAATTTGTGTGGGCTCTGACAAATGTAACAGCCAACAAGGCCAATATATTCCCTGACATTCCTTTGGTCGGGGTCTTGACTGAACTCTGTGTGTCCGGCAGGGAACGGCTTGACCCTGGCTGGCCAGCCCAATAAACTCTACTTTGCAAATTGCATTCTTGTGTGACGCTCTGTCTTTTGCGGTAATCAAGTTCTTGGACCCTAACACTTAGAACCTTTCTGCACCTGTTTTTTCACTTAAATGTATTTTAGATACTCCCCCGTCAGTTCTTTTCCCTGTTCTTTTTCACAGAAAATATTGAATCCCTTTCTTTTAAATGCTTACCATTGTAAAGTGTCCAAAGAAAATATAGCACAAAAATGTGAGTTCTGTGAGGGCAGGAATTTTTGCTCTTGCTCATGGCTTTTGTCATCAGCACCCTTCTCTTCCCTTCCCCCAAACTCCCTCCACCCCTTGCCTGAAATATAATACATAATTTAAGGTTACTTGTTGAAAGAATAAAGATGGCTCCTCTTAAGAGTAATGATTGTAGCTTCAGGGCTCAGAGCAAGGATGGGCGGGTCTGGCTGATAGGAGGTGGGGGCGGGGAGGGCAAGACAGGGCTGGATGGGGTGGGCTGCCCAAAGGGACTGTGGGGTACCCCTGCAAGGAAGCTACAGAATGAAGATGGTGCCTGCTTCCCTGTGAGGCCCATAATTAGCGCAGGAAGAAATCCCTTCAAATTGATAGTATGGCCTAAATAGCACAGATATTAAAAGACAGGAATACCCCTGGTAGAGCACTCTGAATCCCCATAATTCTTGAATCTAATTCACAGGGAATTAACTTGTGGCCAAAGAAAGCCATTTGACCCTTGGTGCGTGGTTCTCCCAGGATCTGACTTCCTTGTAGGAGAGTATTCTGAAGGACAACCTGAACCCAGAATTTTTCCTTTCACAGATTTTTTTCATGGAGTTGGCCCCTGAAGAAACCAAAGCACCTCAAGTGCATCCTGGATCTTCCACACCCTTCTTCACATGTCTTACTGCTTTTGGACTGACAATGGGACTAGGAGAGAAGTCTTCCCCACTGGATGTCTAGACCACAGGACCTTCTCAGTGAGTAGTGTCCTGCATCAAGCTGGTGGGCCTGGATTTTTACTGTCATAAATGTGTGTTCTTTTCTGGAAACTTGTCCAACAGACAGGAAACTGTCCAGTATACCAGTTCTCCACAAGACCATCTAAACTAGTTGGGTGCCTACTCCTGAGTCAGCTGACTTCCCATTTACTACAAGAGTAAGGAAATGACAAATGAGAGTTTTGAAAATAAATACAGGTGACCCCTGAACAACAAGTTTGAACTGTGAGGCTCTACTGTTGGGAGTGACCAATGCGGAGATTTACTGAGGGACTGGATAACTGCGGTAATAAATCAGGCCTTGCATCCAAAGGTGATAAGGTGGTAACAAACCGGGCCTTGCATCCAATTAACAGGACCTTGCATCCAGGTGATAGCTGAAGGTGACAACAAACTGGGCTCCCCCTCCAAGTTTGATAACAAACTGGGCCTTACATCAAAGGACACAGCGATGAGTCACCCTTTTAGAATGTGAATTTAGAGTCTATATAAGAGACCCTTCCCCCCTCTAGAGTAGCTGCGGACCCCACCCTAGGGGCTCCGTCTCAGCTGCTGTCTGGGGGCAATGAACTGCTTGCTCACCCTTTCTGCCTCCCACCTTCCTTTCTTGCGGAGGTCACAGAAATTGGGACAAAACACCTACTTACTCTCACGTTTTAAATTCCTCCTCCTTTCTCCCCAGCCTATCCAGTGTGAAAACTTTAATGCGATGAGCCATCTATGATTTTCTTAATAACATTTTCTTTTCTGTAGCTTACTTTATTGCAAGAATACACTGTGTAATACAGATAGCAGACAAAATCATGTGTTAATCAACTGTTTTTGTTATTGGTAAGACTTCCAGTCAACAGCAGGTTATTAGTAGTTAAATTGAGGGAAGTCAAGTTACACAAAGATTTTCTACCTTACTGGGGTTCAGCAGCCATAATTTCCATGTTGTTCAAGGTCAAGTGTAACTTAAGAATAAAGACAAAGAGAACACTTTCAAAATGTCAAAATAAGGATTTCCAAAAAATTCACTTTATAAAACAGAACACCAACAAAGTTGCTCAAAATAAACTTTTCCAGGACTCTGGAAAAGAACTAAAGGCTTGCAACAAGTTAAGAAGCATTTATTAAACATAGAATTAAAAACAGCTGACTCTCGTTATGAACAGTGCCATTTGGGGCATTTTAATTTGCTCTAGTTCTACCATGCTCTCCCAGGTCTGAGGTGGCTGTGAAAACCAGCAGCCCTACAACCATGGCAGCTGTGAAGAGCAGAACCCTAATTGGGGGGGGGGGGAGGCAGTTGGAGGGGGAGTTGGTTTAGAACTTCCCCCAAATTCCATTCCTAAAGAATTGTTAGTATTTGACTTAACTGGAAGTTCCCTGGAAGCCTACCATTCACAAAACTTGCCTTAATTTGACCTGACTCAGCCCCCTGAGGGACTGAGAAGAACCATCTCAGAGGTGTTTAAAGAAACAACACAGGGGCAATTGTTAAATTTGTAGCTGCCTGAGGCAGTGGAACCCATTGGCACAAACAAGACTGAATTAACTAGGTAAAAGGAAAAGCTCAGGAATGAGATTTTCAAAGGGGATTTTGCAAAATTTGGATATATTCCTGAGCTCAAAAAAAGCTATCAGGCATGTATGCCCGTGTGCCTATCAAAAAGTCCTCTAAAGGCCTTAATCTGTCATTCTGGCTGGGTTAAGGCTCTGCACAAGCAGGAAATGAAGACTTAAGACCAAGGTGTCAACTGCTGAGCGGTGAAGTAGTACTTGCAATTAGTTTCCTATTGCTGCTATAGAAAATTACCACAAATGTGATGGCTTACAAGACAAATTTATGATCTTATATTTCTGGAGGTCAGAAGTCTAACATGGGTTTGCCTGGGTAAAAATCAAAGTGTTTGCAGGGCTTTGTTCTTTCTGGAGATTAGAGGAGAAAATCCACTTCCTTTCCTTTTTTTTTTTTTTTTACTCCTCAAAACATTGCCCTATTCTTTAGTTGATGACCTCAAATCACCCTGACCTGCCCTCTTGGAGTCCCAGTTTCTCTGACTCTGAATCTCTGGCCTTTTTCTTTGCCTTTAATGACATTAATAAGGGTATAATGGGAAACACTGAAACTAACAAATTAGATAAAAAAGAAAAAGCAATATATTCCTATAACATCATGAACTACTAAAGCAAGCTCAAGAAAAGTCTAAAAATATAAGTAAGGCTTATTCAGGTAAGGTGATTAAGTAAGTAATTTAAAACTACCTGCCCCTACAATAAAAAAGTTTCAGGACCACATTGCTTCGCTGGTGAATCTACCAAGCATTTTAAGCAGAATGCCACCATGGTGATTTGGCGTTGGGGATGTGGTGTAGTAACATGTAAGGAAGTATTAGCTTCTATCCAAAAAAAAATGCAGTGTTGTAAACCAACATTACCTCAGTACAAAGAAAAATTTAATGATGTGTTTATGTAATAGTAAAAACAGAAAATAATAAGGCAAATAAACAAATATAAAATAAAGAAAAATGCTATTCCTTCGCAAAACATTCACCAAAAAATAAGAAGAGGGCAACTTCTCAACTCATTCTGGGAAGTCTGTATTACATTGATGTCAAAACCAGACACTTCACATAAAACTACAGATTAATATCTCTTAAGAATTTAGATGCTAAAACAGCAAGTAAATGCTTGTAAAACAAACCCACAAACATAAAAACTAATAAACCACATCAGCATGACCTGGGAGAATTCCAGGAGTACAGGCATGCTTTACCAGCTGAAAATTAATCAATATACTGTACCATATAGATGAATCAAAGAACAAAACAAAAAAAAAAAAAATCACATGATCATCCCAACAGATGCAACAACAGTATGTCACAACAGTATGTCACAGCATACTTTCATGCTAAAACCATTCA